CGCAAGGAATGATGAGATTAACGGTATAAAAGAGAGTCTTTCGCCGAAGGGTTATATTGAATGTGATGTCCGGATAGGGTTCGGGACAGCAATCAAAATATTCCTCATTATATTTGGCCGGAACTAAAAGTATATCCCATTCGACGCTCTTATAGAAAGAGCTCATATCGATCCCCATCTCAACCGAGTTTGAGTCGTCCTGTTGTTTGACGTGACGGAGATCTACCTATTTATTCAATCAATTCTTTTGTTATCGCGTTGTTTTACTTATTTAATTATGTCATATAATGCTCATGTAATTATTTTGCACAAATATATTGCTGTTTGTTGAATAATTTTTAAATAATCTCAACAGAATATTGTTAATCCCATTCAACTGCAAATACAGTAGTTTTTAATAACACAACACGCAAAGCCATAGTTTCATGTCTTGTAATATTACTTTACTTTGTATTTGATTGTTAACTAAAATAGTTTTTTTCCTCGTGTGTGTGAGTGTCAGCCGTTATTATAAATATATTATTGTTTGTAGAGTAAACTCTCTAAAGTGCTGAGCAATTATTGAAAAATCTAAAGTAATCTTTATGTGTTTGTGTGATATATGGTGTAAAACACGAAAACAAAATTAGAGAGAAGAAACGAGAGCACAAAACACACACAATTGTGTGTCTCTTTTGGATACTCATTGTCTGGTGTGTTGTGTTGTGTCAGAAGCGCTAATAAAGTGATGTGTTATGTGTGTTATGTCTGTTATGATAGTAATGTGATAATAGAGGAGAGGAAATGGGATGAAGAGTGTGGTGTATGGGCTGTACCTCATGTCCGTCGTAAGTCCAACTGCCGAACTTCATTAGACACGACTGTTCGTCGAATGGGAAGTACTCNATACTTTAAAGTATTTGTTTCATAAATGCAATTTAAACTTAATTGAATAGACTGTATGAATGAGTGCTGTATATTATACATAGTGATATGATTTTCTCCCAACAATTTATTGAACCAAAAACTGTGCGATAATTTGTGAGAAGGTTTTGTGAAGACTGTGTGTCACGTATTGTATATTCACATGAACTGTGTTTGAGATCTACTGAACGACGATATACTCAATGCCGTCGATTGGTATCCGTTTGCGAGAACCCAAAGACGTGTTTCAAATACATCAATGAATAGTACACTTACTCTTACTTTTATTTAATATTTATCAGCGATGGCCACTCTTAAAGTCTCTCTCTCTCTCTCTCTCTCTCCATCGTCACGACTGCCAGGCTTTGTCTCAATTCAAAGCACATTTTAGAAAAAAAATGTTTGAATGTTTCCTCGAATTCACTTTGAAATTAATTCAATATATTTTTGATATCAATATGTAATTCATCCACATTTATAAGATAAGAGGTCATCGACGACACCATTCATGCCTTTTCGATATCGCAAAGACATTCATAATATTGATTGATTTGATCTTACAGTATATGCTATTTATATAAATACAGTATATATTCTTATAAAATGGTTTATCGATATAAATACACAATTTGTAATATTTTATAAAATGTTATTATTATAAGTAATTTTCTAAAAAGTGTAATATTTATATTCAACAAAATGATATAAACCTTTCATAATAGAGTACTGTAGGCAATCACTGAACCGATAATTTATTGCCTATTTATAATGTCATATTATAATTGAAACAATCAATAATCTATTTAAATCTCACTATAAAAATAATGTTCATATTTTGAATATTTTAAATGTGGTCATATCAAATCATTATCACAATACTTAATTTTATGCTAATTATATCCGGTAAACTTAAACACTTTTATTTAAATTAAAATAATTGTAATTTATTAAAACATTTATATAATGTTATTAAACGATTACCCAATAATTCTTATTCAAAATATTTTGCATTTGTATCAAGATTACCATTTTTGTGCAAAATTAATATCATAATAAGTAATCCTTAAATCATACTTCCCATCAATGATTGCTGTATTAGTGAAGTTAATAATATTATCGGATAACATATTATGTCGTATTAAGTAATAACTAGTTTAAATATTATTAACCTTTATGTTTTATTTTATTTGGAATGATCATACAGTCTTATATAATATATATTTATTTAATAAGTTTTTGTTATATCTTTACATTAATTATTTTTTAACAGAAATGCATTATTTTGTCTATCATTTAAATAAATGTATATAAAATTTATAACATTATTAATTATTCTTTAAATTAGCTGCCATTAAAAGGACTGTTTCTGTAATTATTTGTTAACATTTTTTGACATTTTTATATCTTAATTACAAATATATTATTTACAATAACTTAAATATATTATCTATAAAATCTCTGTTTTTATACTAAATTAAATTTAATTATATAATAAAGAAATATTATTGTAGTAAAAAGTTATATTTACATGCTTTTTAACAACTAAATACATAGTATATTACATATGAATATACAGAATGTACAATAGTATAGTACATATGAAAAGCATTGTTGGAAATCATCGGCCAATTTGTGAGAGCTGTTGATCGATAGAAGTCCTTTGATCGTAAAGGGAAGGCGCCTATCAATGCAATCAATGATATGCTCAGCAAAAGTGCCACCACTTAATCAAATGACACTAATTAAAATCAATTGTATTAAATACCTGAAATATAATGCCACAGGTGCCACATAGACAAGCTAGGGTAAATATCCATAAAAATAGACGATCCAATACCATAGCCACGTATTTCCAGTCTTCTATGACCTATTGTATGGACGCAAACATTGTATTTGTTATAACAATGCCATCAAAAGCAGTACCAAAGGAAACAATGAAAGGCATTATTGCAACGCTTTATTGATTTAAATTGTGTGACAAATAAATATAGATTTAGGAGAGAAAGGAAGAAAAGAATGCATAGAGAGAGAGAGAGAGAGAGAGAGAGAGCGAGCGAGAGAAAGAGACTACTTGCATTGTTTTCATCATCATCTTTCCTGATATGTTCGGCGATATTTAAAATACTTTCGATTGCTTTTTGGACATCAGATGAGTACTGAAACGCTGAGCCAAATAATTGAGGTTGAGTTGGTTCGAGGCCTACACTTGGCATCACATCTCTGCCATTCGACCAATGAATACAATTCTCGTTATTTATATTGCAATATGTGTTACGATTGAGTCCAGACATCGCCAGCTCTGAATCCATTGCACTGTTGTACTCATGAGTGGAGCCGTAATGGCAAATAAGTGGTAGACCGGGAATATCGTTGTCCACATAGCGTTGATCCGCTGCCACAGAAGTATATGAAGTCATTGGTTCTACTCTATAGACGCCATTGTTGGCACTTCTTTGCATCATTCGGTATGAGTTACGTCTTATAGCGAATCCATTTGAACCTCCGTTACAAGAATCCACTTTTGACTTACTCTTAGAACTGACCGCTAAATGAACATATATTTAGGATATTATTAGTCAAAACCATAACATATTAAAAGTTGTAAATAACTACAAACCGGCCAACTCTTCGGTCCAGTCATGATATGAGGGTCTCTTCATAAGCAACAGTCGGGGCATCATATGAATGAAGAGAGTGCGGACCCAACCGGACATTCGATGAGTCGATGAAGACCTGAAGTGTACGTTAAGGACGCCAACCGTTACACATATAGACAGTGTAACCAAAATCATTGTAAATAATAAATATTTGCCCAGAAGTGGAACCGCGAGACTTGTTGGCTATGCATCACATTTGTATCAATAATTAATATAAGACATACATATCGCTGTCGTTTAATTAAGTAATTAATTAATTAAAATAAGTTTTAGTTCGCTTACAGGTATTATCTCAGCCAATAGGAGGAAGAATACAGTGAGCGACACGAGAATAGATATGGAAAGTGTGACCTTTTCTCCGCTATCGGACGGCAGATAAAACACTAATACAGTTAGGAATGAGATCCCAACGCAAGGAATGATGAGATTAACGGTATAAAAGAGAGTCTTTCGCCGAAGGGTTATATTGAATGTGATGTCCGGATAGGGTTCGGGACAGCAATCAAAATATTCCTCATTATATTTGGCCGGAACTAACAGTATATCCCATTCGACGCTCTTATAGAAAGAGCTCATATCGATCCCCATCTCAACCGAGTTTGAGTCGTCCTGTTGTTTGACGTGACGGAGATCTACCTATTTATTCAATCAATTCTTTTTGTTATCGCGTTGTTTTACTTATTTAATTATGTTATATAATGCTCATGTAATTATTTTGCACAAATATATTGCTGTTTGTTGAATAATTTTTAAACAATCTCAACAGAATATTGTTAATCCCATTCAACTGCAAATACAGTAGTTTTTAATAACGCAACACGCAAAGCCATAGTTTCATGTCTTGTAATATTACTTTACTTTGTATTTGATTGTTAACTAAAATAGTTTTTTCCTCGTGTGTGTGAGTGTCAGCCGTTATTATAAATATATTATTGTTTGTACAGTAAACTCTCTAAAGTGCTGAGCAATTATTGAAAAATCTAAAGTAATCTTTATGTGTTTGTGTGATATATGTGTAAAACACGAAAACAAAATTAGAGAGAAGAAACGAGAGCACAAAACACACACAATTGTGTGTCTCTTTTGGATACTCATTGTCTGTTGTGTTGTGTCAGAAGCGCTAATAAAGTGATGTGTTGTGTGTTATGTGTGTTATGACAGTAATGTGATAATAGAGGAGAGGAAATGGGATGAAGAGTGTGGTGTATGGGCTGTACCTCATGTCCGTCGTAAGTCCAACTGCCGAACTTCATTAGACACGACTGTTCGTCGAATGGGAAGTACTCGACATCTATTTTACACGTCGACTTGTAAAGTGCCGGCGGATTCCACACCACTAAACCCGTGTGATATACCGTCGCCTTTGTCATCAATGTTACCTCGTAGTTGCCGTCGGCGTTATTGAACAGCACTATATCTATGGTTATTACATAAAACATACAAATCGTTGTCATGTCAGACACTCATTAAATATAACCAATTCTTATCAAAATTCGTGCCAATAATTCAAGCGTTAGTCTCATAACTACTATAATTGATAGCAATCTATAAGACTATAATACTATTAAAACGGATACTTGTTTTTTCGATTAGTCTCTCTCTCTCTCTCTCTCTCTCTCTCTCTCTCACTCTCACTCACTCTCCGATGGATTTATATTAAATTCACCAAAACGTAAATATTGGCACAATATATAGAAAGAAGGCAAACCTGGGAGCCATAGATTCTCTGCGGGCACGTGAATCATATCCACTCCACCATAATCTGCTGGTCTCCACATCAGATTATAGTCGTACCAATTCTAC